TTGGACCTCTTAAATATTGTCGAGTCACACTCTTTACCATAGCTCCCTACATCAACGTAAACAAATCTGTACTTTGTGTCTGCTACAGCCATAAGGACAATAGAGAAGAAATCCTTTAATTAAAATACATTGATCCTGAGTCAAACGGACAAGTCTGTCTTATATGCTTGCCGTCCATAGCTCCAAGGCAGTGTGCGAAGTTTGCGATACTTTTAAAGTTGGAAGCAATTGACTGCCACATATCACAAGTTGGTGTCGGTATACACTCTTCTCGCATTTCTGACCAAATCGCAGCACATACTTACTTCTTCAACTATGTTTTTTCCTGTTGAAATTCCAACTCTGTAGCTGTAGTGCAAATCCGTAAACGTACAGCCACTCGCCAAATATCTGAAATAAAGTTGAACATTATAATTCATTATATTATATTATTTTTAGCTTTATATTATTATATTATATTATTATATTACATTTTTATTTAGCTTATTTTCTATATTAAATAATTATATCTTCCATTTCAATGCTCAAATGAGTTACTGCTTTCAAAAGAAAGTAGGGTAGTTCGCTGCAAATAATAATGTTTCAATCAATTTAATATAATTATCATACTGAATTGATTGTAATTTTTTTTACAGGCAAAGAATTGATCAAAAGGTGGACTAACCTCCGAGATTGTTTCGCAAAATCAAAAAAAGATGACAAATCTGCTAAAAAAGTGGATCTGGGGCTAAAAAAACGTAAGAAATATGTGTTTTCAGACCAACTTCAATTTCTGAATAAGATTTACACCGAAAAAGATACGGTAGACAGCTTGAACCTAGAAATTGTACAAGGAACACTCGAAGAAGATGAGGAGCCTGAAGGTACCACTGGTGAACCTGAAGTTTCTACCAACGTAAACCTGCCATCCAACCTCATAGGAACAAGAACACGAAAGAAACTAGATGAGGTCGAGTTGAAAATGCTCAAATCTCTGGAACCTAAAACGCCCTGCAGTAAATGTCCTTCCTTCAGAGTTTAATGCTTCATTTGACAAAATATTACCACAGTGTATTCCTTCAATTTCAAGGGGGAGTGTTAAATGTAATAGAAAACATAAACAAACTAAAGGAAACTCCTCATTCTCAACCAAACTACCCCTCTTCCGTGCCACCTTATCAGCCACCCCCTCAGTACATGCTTCAGCCATCTTACGTTAACCAACCGCAAGCATTTGTCCATGTTTAACAACCTCCATTTAAACCTCAACAATATGCAAGTCCTAGTTTTTCGGGTAACATTCAAAATAGCGTAACAACAGCTTCACTTTTCTCAATATGTAAGTGAACAGCAAAATCAATCAAGGTCGACGCAGCAATCAACGCCTAAACAAAAAGGTTCACAATCCAAACCGGAAACAACATCCACATCTCAGTACCTACATGGATTTTGTTACAGCGACTCTTCACAAACTGAAATTGTCCGTCTATTTCTCCTTCACAACTTACTATATAAAAAATATGATAAAACAATTTGTCACTTAAAACACAAAAACTTAAATGTACTACTAACTTCAATGGCATTTTCATACAAACAACGGTATAATAACAAAGCTGTATTTAAATGCTTACCTTAAACATAATGCCAGCATTTCAACAGGTTGTAAACAGTTTCTGAAATTCGTGTTTTGTCGTTGAAGGACACTCTTCAGTTTCCCATCTAACTCATCAAAGGAGCGAACTGACATACGAAAGTAGTTGAAAAACTTTTGGTCATCGTTTCTAAGATCTTCAAATAATGTGTGGAACATCCCGACTTCCTGTCGTCTCTGATTAATTTGGTGAATCCAGTGGAGGTGATTGCGCCTTCGTCTTTTCCGACGCCGATACAGTATCCATAACGCCAACCAAAGCAATCTTTCCAGTGAACTGATAAAACGACTATCCACTTTGTAACGATTTAAAATTGTCCAATGTGAAAATGTGAAACCACGATTAAAAATCGGACGATTTTTTCCCGCACGAGAGAAATCGTGTAATGTGAAAGCGTTGGGGTTTACTTACGTTTAAACCACCACGGTGATCTTTTCCAAAGTATCCAATCAAGTTATGTGGTTTTATTTATTGGCCAGACGATTGATATAAAAGTCTGTTCAAATTCTGTTGAAATCACTTTCTAAGCTAACCTCAAAATAGAGTTCTGACACGGAGAAGCAGAAAACTATGACAATCAAAGAGGCCATAAAGGCGCCCTACAATTGTAGGGACGACTGACGATATGGGCCTAAATGCCGGAACACCGCGGCTGCTGTGATGATCCCAAAGAAATTTTGTTAATACGATTTTTGAACTGCCTAAGGTGAATAGAACTGGGAAAAGCTTTCTCTTGTAGATTGTTCCACAATCTCGACACCCTCGGGACAAAGGAGCGGTCGTATCGGCCAGTTCTGGATGTACGAAGTTCGACACGGTTAGGATGGGACGCCAAAGTCAGACGGGTCTGTCTGGCAGACACATCGCGCGGCGGCATCATGGAAGAGAGCTCTGAGGAGCAAAGCCCGTTGGTGTAACGGTAGAAAAGAGCTAGATCGCCGACAGCCCGCCGGTGCGAAAGAGTCCCGAGACTGTCTGTTAGAGAAGAGTCATCGATCAGTCGGACCGCCCTCCTCTGGACAGCATCGAGCATGGATAATGTAGTCGGGGTGGTAGCACCCCAAACGTGTGAGCAATACTCGAGGCCAGGCCTTTTCTAGGCCTTGTATAGAGTGAGAAGGTCATGCGGAGAAAAGTACTTCTTAGCCCTAAACAAATAGCCTAGCTTTTTCCCAGCGGCTGTAGCTATTGACGAGATGTGTTCGTGCCAGATCAGGTCCTCGGTGATCTGGACTCCGATCAGCCGAAATGAATGGCTCTTTGACAGAACTCGGCCATCCATCGAAAGTGGGTGAGCGCAGGAACGCTTTTTGTTCGTCAAAGTACAGTACTGTATTTTGGAAGTCGATCTGGACGCCGAGGTATTCGAGTAGGTCATCCCAGTTATGATCCGAGGGAGTGCGATAAAGGCAGCAAATAAATTTGGGTGATGTTTTGGAGTTGAGGCGAAGCCACAGAATGTCCTTCCGGTCTGATTCCAAAGAAACATGTCTGGAGCAGGAAATACTGCTGTGGACAAAAGTCACAACTCCCCCGTGCTTTCTCAGATTGGAGTTCACCTCGTAGTTTGGGAAGTTAAGATGTTTAATCGGTGCAGACTCTGAGATTTTTGTCTCCGCCAAGAAAAGCACAGCGGGACGATTGGATTGCAGGTAGTGATGAACAGCATTAACGTTGCTATTAATCCCGCAGATGTTCGAAAAACAAATTTTATCGTCGATGTTGTTCCCTCAAGCCCACCCTCCACCCGGACATTCCGAGAGTGGAGTGAGTTTACCGGAGTTCTTAGTTCTCGAGGGATCCATCATCATTAATTTCTTTGTTTTGGAAGATAACAGACTGCATAGCTTAGGTGTGGAAATATGCGGACATTTATAAGACACCCTAGGAAAAGCGGGTGGTACTGCCTCGGTCGACTGGTCCTTGTCTACCACCTTCTTTTTACGTGTTAGTGATGTTAAATAGACTTAAAGTGGCCCGTTCATAGTTTATATGTTTTTGTTTATTGAGACTGGCTAAGAGAATGTAGCTATGCAATGAATATTTTTTGTGTTTTTCTCATGATTAAGGATTTTATTTTGATTTACATTCAGCTTTATACTTTATAGAAGTCGTAACATCTTTGTTATTGTTATTGTTTTCATGAAGATGTATTTTTTGTTGTTTTGTCTGACATTGTTATGTAGAAAAGTCTGTGATAGATTATATTATTTTGCAGTTTTGTTTTAATATATGAAGATTGCTCGAGCTTGGTTTGCTTTATTTACACTTTGATTTCGTATGATTCAAAATTAAAAAAAATTGTATGTATTTTCTACAGAAATTACTGTAATAAATTCATATGTCTGCCTATGTCCATGCTTTTAATGTTAAATCATTATAACACTTCAGTACGTCACACTGAGAATTTACTTTCCATTTTACCCCTCCCAGACAGAAATTCTGGGAGCGCCACTGCATAAAATTGACATTCAATCTCACATGGATTTCTGACTTTTGAGAAACTATCTGTATTGTACAATGAACAAATGAAACATACAGTGCTTTACACATTTTTGGACAAGTCAAGCCAACATGATGAAATTAGGGGCGATGAGATTTATGTATGAATGCCGCATTTTAACGTAAAAGTGACAGTTGGCTAGGCGTAATTTTGAAACATTTTCAAAATAGAATGGGGTGTCATTTTGAGGTCTCTTTCCTAAATGGCGGACCAGCGGGCTGTACAATTTAACGTTGCTGTTGTTGTATGTCATATCATGATTCTCCTTTTGGAAGGTTCTCTATGAATGTTCAAAATAATATAGGATCTTCCGTTAAAAAATACCAGACTGATATTTTTTAAAATTCAATGTTTCATATTTTATTATCCGCTTGATAAATCTTTTAAAGAGAAGATTGATGTAACGCACTACATACTATAGAGTGACTGGTTGTTGAGTTATAAACCATTCAATTCACAAAAATACTCAGATTTAGGATTAGGACAGCATGTCACTCTGCTGGTAGTAGTAATCAGAAGTTTTGAAATGAGACGTCACGTAAACCCTATTGAATTTAAAAAAATGTTCTCAACCGCCATTTTGAAAATTTTCAACTGCCACTTTTGTGCTAAAATGTATTTATGCATCAGTTTTGTTATCCCGTATTTCAACTTGCTAGCTTAACCCGTTCAAAAAATAAGCGGAAAGAAGACTTTGAAAAGCACTGTATAATCAGGATATGATAACAACATACTGTAAATTCAGTTAAGTTAGTTGTAGTAGATTGCCCATTCTTTCTCGTTTGTTAATCTGTGCGGCTCTTTATTTTCTTTCACCTATATGAACAAATTGAAAAATATAGACTTGAGGACAATTTTTTTTTCAGGTATGTCACATCATGGGTCATCAGCATAGGCAGCTTAGCAAAACGAATAGCAATCGCCATCGCAGAAGCCGTAATCTTGACATGTGTAGCTGTGTACTACTTTGCCGAAACAATTATCTTGACATTCACGCCAGGATTCCTCAGGAACGAGAAAAGCGTTCGTGGTAAAGTGGTACTGGTTACTGGAGGGGCAGGAGGAGTAGGACAGGAGCTGGTCCTCAGATTGGCTAGACAGGATGCGAAGGTTGTCGTTTGGGACATCAACGAAAAAGGTAGGAGAAAATTGATAATGGGTGTTTACTGGACATCCTAGAATATGTGATGTGACCATACCTTTGAAGTCGTTTAGAAAACCAAAGAATTTGACTGATTCATAAAAAAACTTTTAAGGGGCACCTCTACGGGGATATAGGTACCTTAGGTCCGATTTTAATAATCCGAGGCGCGAAATTTGCTTCAGAGATGGCACCAGCGGAGGTCATTGCTTCTACGGCCAAATATTGTTTCAGACTATACAATTTCTTGTACAAGATTTGGTTCAATCTGCTGAACAAAAAATTGCACAAAGTCTTGTACAAGAAATTGTGTAGTCTAAAACAGCCTATATAATCGACGCATTAGAGATTCTTGGTAACTGGCAACCCACAAAACATGCTAGCAGCTGCCATACATTCGACCAATGAGAAGGCGTTTTTGAAGTAATGGATCCAATTTCGATCCGATTTCTTGTACAACTACAAAAATATATACGATTTGTGTAAGATGGGCCCCTAATTCCCATATTGAATCGAGAAATATCTCATACACGTATATCACCTGATTTACTGCAATAACCTGTTTTACTTTGATCCAGGACACAAAATTTGTGGTTTGCGATTGTTGAGGGATAGTTAATAATAGTAAGTATAGATAGTAAGTAGTCTTATTTTTAATAACATGCTCACTAATGACTGCTGTCCTATTAATCTGTTGAACTAAATCCTTCTTTTTGGTTGGTCGCAAATTCTTTTTGATTGGTGGATTTTGCGTCTTGGTCACCCATTTTGTGTTCTGGTTCAAATGAAACTTGATGATTTAATAGGGGAATTAGGGGCCTATCTTGCATAAATCGTATAATTTTTCTGTAGTTTGAGGGACATTTTGCAAGAAATCGACCATATTCATCATATGCTTCACTTCAAAAACGTCTTCTCATTGGTCAAATGTGTGCCATGGGCGCAAACTTTGATTTTCGCGAGTTGTTAGTAAGATCGGGCCTAAATGACGGCATTAGAACTTGTTGTTTCTTGTATAACCTCTAAAGGGACTGTATGGTTAAACAAAGCTTTGATAGCCTAAGTGAGCAACTGCATAGAAAATAATTACTTATCTGAAAATCGTAATCAGTTTGCTATGGAAATTGCTAACATTAGGGGAACTTAAGATGGCATAGCAAGAAGAAAAATATGAAGAGAACAATTCATTCGTTTAAATCGAGAGAGATTGACTAGCTTTAATGAGGTTCTGCAGATTTTTTAGAAAAAGTTTCTTATTTGACATCGAAAATAGCATTTTTTGAAAAAAACAACAGTTCTCATTCAATACTGTCCATTGGCTTGCAGTGCAGGCTATTCACAAAAACTTCATCAAAAGTCTTTGCTCAAGAGATCTGCACATTTTACAGGTGTTTTGGGGTCGATTATTGTGAATCTGTTATAAGGATTGCTATATTTTCAAAAAAACCAAATGACTGCTTACGTATATTTGGCAAACATACTAAACTGAAGTACACATATGTGCCCGAAACAATGACAAATTTCTTTCAGCTCTAATAACCAATAGCGCATCTGGATAATATCTAAACGAAATTCGTTACAGACATTAGCAACAATGAATACCGTTATCCAACAATTCTATTAAAAATATATAAATAAATGAAGAATATGCACCACTGCTGCCATCTTCCCATATCTCCCTTAGATGTAGACGTTCTCATGTAGACGTTCTTATTAAGGTTGCTTACAGCTCTTGAGGGTGTTCGAGAAAGAGCCAAGGATGAGGGTCATATAATCTACACTTTCGCAGTGGACATCACATCAAGGGACACTGTATACAAATTTGCAGAAAAAGTTAAGGACGCAGTTGGTCCCGTAGATATTTTGATTAACAATGCGGGCATTGTATGTGGCCAAACATTACTAGAGTTGCCTGACTACATGATCGAAAAATCGTTCCAAGTTAACGTCATATCTAATTATTGGGTAAGTCGTAAGCAGGCATAGCTAATTATGTTTTCGACTATTTTTTGTAGTTTTCCAACTTTATGAATTTTGGGACTGAATAGCACAATTTATTGCATGGATTTCCCAGTAAAACACTGAAGGAGGCGTAACATGTTTCAATTTATTTTAAATACCCGGCTTGTAAATACTTAGCTCAATAAGTCACTGACGAATCAGATAGATCTAGATCATTTTCAATAAGGTGCAGCGCAGCAGAGAGAGCGTTCAAAAACAAACATCGTGTGAGTTCAAACTTTGCAAAATATCTACTTGAACCTAATCATGATGAGAACAGACTAAGCGTACCTCATAACTGTACCTAATAAAATACACGACTTAAATTTCAAGGTATCATTAGGCATTCAAAATCATTTCAAAGATTCCAATTACGTCGTGGTAAATGAGCAGACCGATCTCACCTCTTCAACCATCATCGATACCTTATTATCACGTTAATTTTGCGTTTATATAGTGTGATGTATCTCAAAGTCGCATGTACCCTTTTTCAACTGCTTGTTTGGAACAATAATATAAGTCCTATTCATCTGAAAAATAATGAGATTATTTTTTTTGTATATTTTTCTTCAATCGTAAATTATTAACGAATAATAGTACTGCTCTGAAAATGTATGTCAAAATTCCAATTGCGATTACTTTTATTTTTATCATTTTTTCTCCTTGAAAAATCCTCGATTTTCTTGAAACCTTCCAAGAAACTCAAATATTTTTTGGAGAGAGAAGGTGATAAGAAAAAAGTAATCACCTGCTCAATTCTTCCATAAGAGTGGAAAATTAACATACAAGTTTAGAGCTGTGCTATTTGTTTTTGTTAACAAGTTACAATTAAAGAGAAAATGCATAAAAATGCACAAAAATGCATTTTTGACAAAATAGTATCATCTCTGTACACACCGTGAAACAATCACGCGAAAAGTACTGAGAATACTCATCCAGACAGGCTGTTGAAAAAAAAGGGACATGTGACGTTAAGCGATATACCTACATTTAAAAATAATAGCTAGAGATGGTAAATAGGGCATTAGGTTCAAGGTCATGCTAAGACTTAGTTCTCATTTATAATCTGGGTAGCCAGTCGATGTCAGTGAACGCGTTCACTAAACATAAAGCGGTGCAGTATTTTATACTGAATAGAAGTAACCATGGAAAAGCTTGCTCAGTTTGACAGCAGTTTTCACTTGGCTGTCAGATTTGATAGTTTGTTGATTGAATGTTGCGAACTGTCAAAGCTATTCTGCAGCTTCTAGTATTCAACATAAGAGCGATACTCCACTGGACCGCTTTACATTGGCTGAACACGCTCATTGTCAGTCTGACGATGATTTTCAAATAAAAGTAAAGAGCGTTACGATCTCTTCGGTCTTTTATTGTGAAACTCGTGAAAAATTGCACTGCTCAATCTTCAAGAAAGAGCAACTACAATCTACAGGACTTGTTGTTGTTTTGTTGTAGACAGTCAAAGCATTTTTACCAGATATGTTGAGCAGGCGTAGTGGTCATATAGTGACTGTCAGCAGCTTGACAGGTCTTATGGGCACATACAAATGCGTAGATTATAGCGCAACCAAGTTTGCCACTGTAGGATTCCATGAGAGTTTATTGCTGGAATTGAAAGTATGTATACATTTTGTTTTAGGATAGGATAAACTGCTACTATTGGTTTTAGCTATTAGCCAGTACACTCAGGCTACTAGGATATATGTGTTTTAAGTTGTCTAACAGAAAATACCAAACCTGTAGGATAGTTACATCTAATATTGATGTTGAAAAAACTAAAACCTTCGAACAAAGTCACGCGTAGCGAACAAATGTTGTATCACATTAATGAAAATTGAATAAGACAAACTTGCGTTATCCTAACACACGTTGTAAGTTCCTATGCCTTAAGAGATGATTTTTTTGCAATAAGACCGCACAAAGTGCCACCTATTCCTGGAATCGACCACTGCGAGGCTGCAGGTTGTCTGGTGGAGCTCTATCCCAGTTATCATTTGACAGCCGGCACCTGCATCCATATTACGTAATTTAAAAAGCCGATTTAATATAACACTATGTACTTTTTTGACATTTTGTGGGTTTTCCCGTGAAATTTCACATATTAACTAGTTGACATTCACATCAGGTATGGAATGAACTATGGGCACACTAGCGGTTATCTAGTACACAAGTTGACATTTTACCGATTTTTTATCATTATATAGGTTCTTTACGTAACTGTAAAAGTGGCGTTATATTGATTTTTTTTGACATTATGTATGTTCTTTTATGACGTTATGTCGGTTTTTCTATAAAATATGGACTTTGAACTAGCTGTCATTCACTTTATGCTCACTTGTAGTAGCTGCACGTGGTGCCTAACCATCATGACCCTTGAATTATATTGTTTGGATCCTGATGTCATGTAATTCTGCGTCAGCGATGGCACCAGCGAGGTCATTCGTAGGTTCTATGACCTAAAGACTGTTTTCTACTACATAATTTCTTATGCAAGATTTGGTTCAGATTTTAGTTCAAGAAATTGAACCAAATCTTGTACAAGAAAGCAGCATGTATATGTTTTGTGGACGACATGGTCGCTGAGACACCACTGTTCAATAGCATGTAGACCGTATCTACTATGCTGCCAGAATCGGCAGCATCTAGCGGCTAAAGTGGTAATTCGTGCTGTCTCGTTTCAATAGACATACTCTGAATAGAGGATAGTTCCTCAGCATTTGTAAACAGTGGTCTATGGTTGGCAGACTCTGGTCGGACGGATGAAAGCTTTATTACTACCTATTTACCGAAGAAACAAACTAAACCCAAACATATCCACACATACTTCACGTGATCGGACACTAGAACGCCGAACACGTTACATGGCTGGCGAGGCTGCATGCACGGTCGTGTCGTCTCCCACTCCACCTTGCTGGTTTGGCTTTGGTTCTGTATATAGGCTCGATCGATTCTGCCCAATAACAGTTATGCTCTTCGTTTCTTGAAACATATCAACGTGCTAGATAGACTTTATTTATGATGGTTTTGCTTATCTCCACGAGTTAAAACATCCACTACAGAAACGTTCCTATTACATTTAGGTACATCTCCGTTATATGTTGCGCATCTTGTAAGTGCGTTGGAATGCGAAAATAACATTTATGATTTTGCGGACCAAGTGCCGGGGTCAAAATAAAGCGCCGATTGACTGCCGGGAACAACATATGTTGCAACATCTTCCGTAACTTGTTGGAATATAAAATTACTTTGAAACTCCTTCCTCGTCATTAAAGTTAATCTTCAATATAGTTTGTTATATTTCCAGACTCATGGCCACCACTTTATCAAAATGACTATAGTTTGTCCATATTTCATCAACACCGGCATGTTCGATGGCTGCAAACCAAAAGCAATGCCAATGTATGAACCAAAGGATGTAGCTAAGAGGATTATCACCGCAATCAAGCGACGAGAAGTGTTTGTTACGATACCGAATTGGGCTAGATTTGCTACACCGCTGAAGTAGTAAGTATATCGTAGAGCAAAGAATTGTTTGGAACTTCAATCATTTTGCTATCCTTTTATTCAACAATGGGTTCACGGAGGACATCGTATCCATCAAACGTTTTGTTTTATTCACCACTGAATCAATTCTTTTATTTCAGAAAAAAATCACAATTTAACAAAACACTCGCAGTCCTGTAAAATTTCTTCCTCGCTCTTGCCTTAAGACAAAATGTCGTTAAGGACAATCGCTAAAACCGAATCGATGGCTTTCTTCATACACGACATAATGTATCTTAAAGTTCTTGTCGAAGACGCGCAACAGAAAGCGAACAAGCAAATGTGGGTCATCTGAAAAGCTCAGTATTGCAGTGCGCGGAGTAGTCACGCTGCTACCTATGAGTTTCCCAAACGTGGTACTATCGACCCTCACTTCGGTAGCAGGAAACTATATAACATACCCCGGCATCTTTATTTTCCAGTCAATCCATATTCGCTTGTTTGCTTTCCGTTGTTTCTCTACAATGACCATACATGTACGAATATGGTTGGATATGGTCACAGGGCATGGTGAGCTCCTCCGAGTGACGAGATGCCTATGTGGTGGGTTTCACTTGTCAAGGAAATCAAACACGCGAATACGGATCTACTGTAAAATTCAGCATTGTCGTGCGCGAAGTGGACTCATTTAGAGATGCCAAGTAACGCTGGGTCCTTTTGTGCTTTTATTCATGCCATTACCCAAAATCTACCCTTTTATAAAAGCTAAGTTAGGCTTTGGTCCTCATATACCTAAAATCCTTCTGATGATCTCAGATATTGGACCTCATTATAGTCTGCCATGGTACCCGAGATTATAGTTATAACGCAGTACTCTGACTACCAGCTGGTTGTCGGAGCCGGATATCATCTTGTTCTTATAGGGTCATCCCTCTTCTGAATATGGGACACATAAGTTACAGTTGCATACATTTCTGGCTGGGTTCAAAAACCGCATCGTGAGGAGGAAAGAACAGTGTATAGTAGTGATCATATTACCCCTCATGAGATGAACAAGAGCTTCATTGCAACTCGACTAAAATAGCGCTGTGCCCTTTATTTACATTCACATTGGACAGCTATACTCGTTCCATAGTCGACACATAGCGAAGAGCGCTGATCCAACGCTGGAAATTGCTCATGGTTGCTTTTGTTAAAAACAAAGCTAAAAGTTTGAAACAAAAGTTACAATGTAACTATTGCTGTCAAAAATTTTGCTTGTAGAGTGGTAGCTGCACCTCGCCTAGGGAGCTAAACTCTGGATCCTGTTACAACAATAGCAACCTCTGACTATGAAGATGTGATGAGCTATAGCTCTTACGGTTTCATCTTATGTGTCACTCGTCTCCAACAGATAACGCCAGTAAAGTTCATTTCTTTCAACTCTTTGAGCACCTCATGCCCATCGTGTTATTTGTGGGCTGAAGCTGCATCTATGTTAATTCGGTTGCTAATTTTTACTGTTTCACTTTCAGTTACATTCCGGCAAAGTTGAACTGGGTGTTGCTTTACAGAGTTATAAAAGCACCTCAATCCATGATGGGTATGCGATCCTTCAAGAAAACAGAAAAGGTCGAAGCAGCCTGAATGTATCGGTTGCGTTTTGGTGATTTTATGTTTTTATATACTGTTATTAGAATAAGTATTTATACTTTCTAGTGTGATTTTATTTAGTGATTTTTACATTATATTAACCGAATAAATAAATAGATCAGTAGTATTATTTCTATTAGATACTGAATGCTTTTATTTAGTAATTGGGTAGATGTATATCACACACAGCTTAAATCAGCAGTGTCAGATTGGTAAAAATCCCAAGTAGATAAGAATGCAGTATGGGGATGGGAAACAGGAGGAAAGTGACATTAGTTTTGAAACTTATACAATTTTTGTATGCCAAACCTTGGCATAGAAATTTATTCATATATATATATATATATATCTTATCTTAGATTAACTATATTTTTAACTAGCATAGTAATGAAATATCACAACCATCAAGTCATGAAATAATAGTATCATCAGTCATCATAAAAAATCATTTTCGATCTGGGATTAAACGCACTTGTGGCAAACAGTGGTAGGCCATCCTAGTTTAACCACATCTGATATAAGTTGCATTTAAATCATGGTTTCATAGAGGGCAGTTAAAACGTAAAGTGGTCTGGGGCTAGGGATAGTGTGAGTTAAGTCAGTTATGGATATTTTTCAGACAAGAGAAAGCTCTGAAAGCCTCCTTAAACCAGAAAAGCTGAGTGACTCCAGCAGAATTTCCTGTACGAAGTGTGAGTTTTCCCAGTCATAAGCATAGTGGAGTTAATCTCGTACAAGTGTTGTAAAGCACATAGTGCTTGTTCCGCATTTATTATTTCAACAAATAGTCAAAAGTGCACTTCCATGTACCTGCATATCCATAAGTTAGTCTTCCTTTCTTACCGTTGCCAATTAAATAGAGATTTCCAATAAAATATCAGTTTCAAGCTCCATCGTTGTTTTCTAGAGTAGTTAACTACACTTTCTAAGATATTCGATCAACAGTTTTCGACATTCTTGAAATGACCACCTTTGACTCTAGTCCGCAGGCGACCATTAGTCAACAGCACCGGTAGAAGGAGCCAGTCAAGGATTTATTTGTGTCCTTATTCCTACAGTTTATAGTGAGGATCAAAGAGTACTTGACATGTGTCAATTTTTTGACAGTTCTGTCATTAAATTGTTAGTCGTGTTATTATTTTAAAAATTCGAGTGTTTGCAGATAATTGTGGTGCCAGACAATTTCTTACATAAGCAAAGAGAAGCACAAGCCTAATGAAGGTAGATCTTTCCACCGGTAAGTATTATTATTATTTTGATACAACGTTGTCATTTTGGTAGGCATTGTTCGACAAATGAGTCAAAAGTACGCACTAAAACTAGGCAATTTTGGCAAAGAAAGCAATCTACACAAACATCTAATCTATTCGATTTTGCTGTGCTTTCTGTGTCTTGTTATTTATTCATCTTTATTATACAGATATTTACTTTTAATAATTATATTGTACTGCTCGTCAAACTTGTTGTTTTACTATTATGTTTGCTGCTAAAAAATAATTATTCATATATTAGAATTGGTTTCAGGTATTCTTTCAATGATCCTTTCTAAGAATGCGTTACTATAGATTATACTGTAAGTCAAACTATTAAGATTGATTAGTCATTTTCTGATTCATCTAAAAAATCCCGTACTAAAGATAATCTAGTTTGCATTTGCTTACGTTTTTTACAACAGCCATAAATATGGACTTGCGTTCTGACTACTCTACATATACACAAAAGATTTACGTAATGCAAATATTCGTTCACAGTAACCATGGATGCAAATAATGATTATGGTAAACTTTGAAAGAATTCCTTATCTTGACAATCGACTTATGGTACGAGAAGCCAAAAATAGCTACTTACCAGCTAACCTTTATACGATAGACGAGAGAAGAATACGATTTATTTTAGTTCAAACTTCTCAAGTATCTAAGCAAGATATAATGTTTTTTATAATTTCCTGAACATATTATTTATCAACAGTGCAAGGCGACGTAAAACGAAAGTTATGGTTTGAATCATTTATAACACGCATATTTTTCAAAATTCAGTTTTTATTTCAGAAGAATTAGTAGAGAAGGCTTGAGGGATTTGATATTAAGCGATACACCACAAAACAAAGAAACAAGATGCTCGTACTTTATTTTTAAAACTTAGAGTTGTCCTATCACAGTCTTTATTTCAATTTAGGGCTTGTAAACAGTACCAAAAATAAGGCATTCAAATCCAAAGACATATGCACACAACATATGGACTTTGACCGTCGGTCAAATATAATGAAATTTTGTATAGTGATGTTGTGCTAATCAAATGTTCCAATAGGCACAAACCCCAGAAATATCTTCTACTTGAGATACAGGATGTTAAGTCCGGTGTCAAAGATTGGTGCCTTAGCCCGTGGGTACGTCTGCCCGCAACATTTCACGAAAACTAATTCATCTTTAATGTGTACCGGGGTTACTTAACTACATAATAAAATTACGTGAACACATACAATATACGGGCTGATACAAATTCCACTCTCATCATTGGGATCTCGGAAACGGTTAAATATTTATTTATACACTACTCAACAGCAACAGCCATTTACAGAGTAGGATACAGACCAGACAAAAAACAATTATTTTATAATACATGCGAGAATGTGTAGTTCGAACACAAAGGTGCTATAGTACAAATATGTACCAATATCAGATAAGAATGCAAAAAAGTCAGAAAAACCTCACAGAAATATATCCAACTCTTCTGCAACGTCATTAACTCTACCACAAGAGTAAAATAGTGGAGAAAACTTTAGGATGTTTGTTCTAAGGACAGGCAAAAAGTATCAAATTGTCTAGAATTTAAGCGTGGAATAAGAAGATTAAATTTATGCAATATATGACAGCAATCGATATAATTGTGCAATATACTACGCACAAAATTAATGCAGCTCTTATCACGCCTTTCTCTGAGACATTCTAGTTCAAAGGCTTCTTCTAAAATTTCTTGATGGTAGTCAATTGGCGGGTAACTGCCATTTTCCTTGAAATGTAGGTATTTTAGTAATCGTCGCTGGATACTTTCAAGTTTATATATCGAGAAGTTTTAGCAAGGCTGCCAAACAACTGACGCATATTCAAGCTTTGAACGAACCAGTGAGCGGTACAAAAGTTTAATTGTATTAATATATTGTAACTCACGACCACAGCGTATAATAAAGCCCAATCTTTTGTAACACTCAGCAATAATTGTCTCCATATGAACATTGAAACAACATTTACTATGAAAAATGACACCTAAATCCTTGAGTTCACTTAAGCGATTGAGAGGCGAACCACCAATATTATAGCCAAATACGATTACTTGAGTTTTGTTGGTATAACCGACCACATTACACTTCAAAGCATTTAAAGGTTAACAATTTTTGCGGCACCAGCTGTTAAGCATGTTGATGTTACATTGTAACTTTTCACAATCATCAGGAGACCGAATTGGACAAAGAAGCTTGAGATCGTAGCATATAGGAGAAATTGGACATCTAATTGTATGTTTATACGTATATCATTTCTAAAAATAATGAAAAATAATGGCCCCAGGACAGACCCTTGAGGGACACCAGACGTATGTGACTCTCTCAGATAGATAGGATCTTATAAGTGAGAGGAGATGACTAATCACGCCAAAGTTAGTTAGGTTGTCAAGAAGAATGCCATGATCTACTCGGTCAAAGGCTTTCGAGAAGTCAGTATAAATGATATCAGTTTGAACACGAGAGTATTTTCAGATATATATTGTACAGTGCAGAATAAGTTTGTAACTGTTGATCTTTTTTTCATGAAACCATGCTGTTGAGTTATTAAAGTATTATGCACATGCCAATAAACTGAATCATAAATAGAAACTCAAACACTTTTGAAAAGTTGTTGATAATCGTGATTTGGCTGTAATTTTCAATATCATACTTGTTTCCTTTATTCTTGAAAACCGGACAGACCTTTGAAAGTTTCCACGATGACGGGTAGGTACCATTGTTTAGTGATAAGTTATATACTCGTATCATTGCTAGATGCTTTGCAAAAACAGAAGCACAGTCTTTCAATACAAAAGCAGGAATTGCATCTGGTCCGGAGGTTAATTTGGGTTTTAGTTTTCTCAAGGCTTTATAAACTTCATCTTAAATTAATTTCGTCAAAATTAAAGAGGTATCTTCAATTGTCTGGGTAGAGTCAGTACTACTTCTTGAACTATTTATGAACGAATTTTGAAAGTAGTCAGCAAAGCCATTCAAAATGTCTTGATGGTCACTTATATACCATATTTTTGGGTATTGAGCCTTGACCTCTCCTGCTGTTGACAAAAGACCAAAACTTTGGCGGATCTCGCGTTATATCATCTTCCGTTTTTCTTACATAATTTTTATAAGCAGCTTCACTGTCTCTTTTGATCTTTAGTCTCATAGCTTTATAATCCCGCAAGACATCTTCTTCAGGATTTCGTTTTAGCCTCCTAAATAGTATCTCTTTAGCTCTGATATTATTTATGATACTTCCAAGGAGGGAGACGTATGAAAAAATAACGTTTAATGTATCATAAAATTGCTTACAAGCTTCTTCAACATCATTTAGGTTATCAAGAAAGCTCCAGTTAGTGCAGAATATTTGACTTTTCTAAAATTTTAAGAATTGGGCGTCATTCTATCAAATTGTCTTGCTGGTTTGGGCAGTAATTCATTAATAGAGACAACTACAGAAGGATGATGCATATCCTCCATCAATAAGCGATTACTACGTCTATCTTCATTACAGGCAAGGTTGCTCAAAACAATATCTAAGAGCCTCATGCTGGAATTAAAAACGCAGTTGTATTGCTTAAGAGAATAGAAATTAAAAAAATTGATCAGGCTACTAACAACAGTTGATTGCACGCTACTTAGGACGTACGATGAATAACTAATAATATTGAGATCTCCCATAATTAATACATTAGCATCATGCAAGGAATGAACAAAACAAATCAACTCAAACACATTTTCATATGTGGAAAGAGGTGCCATAGGAGGAATATATACCTACAACCAGTATGCACAAGCTTGTTTTCTCAAATACAGTTTTTACTCCAAGGATATCAACGGCGGGTATGTTACATTGCATACGACGAATACGTCTCGGTTAAATAATAACTAAGGAAAAAGCACTTGCAATGCTTCGTAATTCACTATATTTCCGGAGAGAGATGGAAAAATCTTACTTTTCCCAAAATTGTTTTAATTTTTTTCTTACTTTATTTAAGGTGGAATTTCAAACTTAATCGCATATTAAAATTGCCACCTTCTTCCAGCATGTTTTTAAAACAAACGTACGTAATGAGTCACTTGTCATAAATTACATCATTTCCAATATAAAAACTTTATTAGTTGAACAAACTGTATGAAACTCTGACTTCAATACGTAGTCTGAGAAAAATAGGTAAATCAAATGCAAAAACATACGATACAGTAAATTAAGCTATTTCATTTGTGACTAATTAAAAGACTTCTACTAGAGTCAAAAAAGTTAGGAATTTGTCAACCGTACTTATGTCTGATAATTTATCGAATAAGAAAAAATTAGGAGCACTCAGGCAAGAATCAAAACTCCCTTTCAGTAAGGGTCTAATCCGTCAACATACTGGGGATCGAAAATGTTCCACCTTAGTATTGTCTGCGTGTATTCTTAGACGTAACCATGAGACAACAGTACCACTACCAAATTTAGATTTATCTAAAGCTAGGCAAAAGTCCACTCCAGGTAATGCGCATGACAGAAATGTCCAGAGATCATGCCATCCTGGCACTGCATGATGGGCACATCTAGGTTGGAGTTGGGCTAAGAAGCCTAGCCTCTGATACCGCTTTCGCAAGTGTGCCCACCATATCACTTCCATATCTCAGCATGCATCGGTACCCAAATATTTGAGAGCAGCTGACCTCGCTGTTACCTTCAAAATAATCTCTCCATTACCAAACTAGGCCCAAAACTATTTGACAGAAACCTAGCTGTCGGACCAGATCATTATTATTTTCTTAGTTTCACGCCATTTTTCAAAAACGGATAAACAAAACAATCGCATAGATTTGCGGTTGTTAGAATACATAGAATCTCTTTACTCTAGACCACTGCTCTTCAAAATATCGTCCGCGGATTCTTGGGAGTATATGTATGTGGGTGCGCAGTCTCATATCTAGTGTATTTGATAATAAATAAATGCCAACAAGTGTCTCGTAACCTCTACACTTACGTAGCATGTCTAATATCCCCCGCTCTTCAATAATTTTCAATCGCCGGTAACCGATCTCTCCTCTCGGAAATCTGTTTGATATTTTGATTTCTTAGGTGCCAGTGGTTAAAAAAGGTTGAGAAACTGAGAAACGAGGGTGTAGGCTAATCACAGATGATCTTTTATGTATTTCGCAGATACTGCCAAGATTGCACCAGTCTTCGGAAATTAGCATAAAAGAAAAAAATAGTCGAATGGCCGCAAGATATCTGTCGTAATTGACGGGTTCTCCTCTTCATCCCACAACTTTATTGCGGATGTTTCCCAGGGATCGGTCTTGGCTCCGACACTGTTCCTTTTAGATATAAGCCATCTCCCTGCCTATATGATCAATCCAATCTATAGATTTGCCGATGACACCACTCTACATGCAGCAATTCAGAGCGACAAGCCGATCTCTGCCGGTGAACTGGAAAAAATAAGACCAGCAGCGTTTAATGCTTCCAAACCACAGTACTGCACCTTGTCGAGCAAAAAGCGTCCTAGCGTCAACAGGGACAGCTGCTGGGAAAAGGATAGGCTGTCTGTTTAGGGCTAAGAAGTACTTTTCTCTACATGACCTCCTCACTCTATATAAGGTCCAGATAAGACCTAGCCTCGAGTATTGCCACACGTTTGCGATGCTGCCGCCTCGACTATATTATTCATGCTCGATATTGTCCAGAGGAGGGCTACCCGACCGATTGACGACTCTTCTCTAACAGACAGTCTAGGGACCCTTTCGCACCGGGGGCAATCGGCAATCTAGCTTTCTTCTACCGCTATACCAACGGGTTTTGCTCCTCAGATGTCGTCGCGCTATGTGCCTGCCGGACAGGCCCGCCTAACTTCGGCGTGCCTTCCTAACCATGTCGAACGTGGTACTTCCAGAACTGGGCAAAACGACCGCTCCTTTGTCCCGAGGGTGTTGAGATTGTGGAACAATCTAAAATAGGAGACTTTTTCCAATTCTACTCACCTTAGGCAGTTTAAACATCGGATTACCAAAGTTTCTTTGGGATCTTCATAGCAGCCACGGTGTTCTTGCATTCAGGCTTATGCCTGCGCGGCCGATTCGGTGCAAAAAAAAAACGTTTACCATTTATTGGACCATACTCGTTGGTCTAATTGTAAGTGTAACACATTTACATCAACCTTTAAGGTCTGAATGCCGATTGAGGATTGATCAACCGTTGTATTTTAAATGAAAAGTACGATACCTGGGTGATTCTCAAGTGGATTTTAACATTTGCATTTCACAGTAATGTTTTTTAAACTTTTTGAAATTTTCAGAATTTTCACGAATCTTAAAATTATCGAACTATTAATTATTTTACAAATCATCGGAATACTCAAAATGTTTTCATTTTTTCAAATTCCTCAACATTTTCATAATTTGTCGGTTTTCGGTATTTTTATTTTCTAATGTTTCCAAAACTCTGAACATATCGAATGTTTCAAAGATTTTGAAAATGTAATTCTGGGAAATTTTGAAAATGTAAATCTTTAATACCATGAAAATTTTCAAATACATTTCTTTATCATTATTTTTTGTGGAAGAAAATATTATTTTAAAGATATTGTGAAAAAATAGAACAAAAAGAAGGGGTGCGGCCATTTTTTAAATATTTTTCATATAACGTATACTCAATAACTTTCTCCAATACTATTTACCTTATTGCTTTTTCATCCATTAAAGGAAATATATAAAAACTTTTTTCTGAGCCGTTACACTGATGTTACCCCCTAATCAACTCTCACTCGGCACTCAAGCCCTCAAGGGTCGTCTGTAAATGTGAGCCATACCGGGCGGCGACACTCACAGGAGACCGCTGCTGGAGACCGAATCGCGGTACTATGATATAGCATTCATACAAATCACACACAGACACTGTGAAATACTTACAACCAAATTTACTAAAGCATGTTGAGCATTAAGAAGGCATGTGCATTCTTTTTCTTATTGCTGCTGCATAATATTTAGAGTTAGAATTTGAGTATTTCACAGTGACAGACTTTCAGTGCTATACCTCAAGTCGCGCGACTTGGTCTCCAGTCACGGCCTCCCTACGAAACTTCGCCTAAAGCTCCATTTTTCCAACTGATATAGAAGCTGTAAGATATATATATTTGGCGATCATCCTTAGTCTCGCTACGGTGCGTGGCTTCGTACAGCCAAATCCAAGATAATGCAGCTAAGCAATAAAAGTGAGTCCCCTCCTGCCGCAATACCGATTATGAAGTATACTTTTCTGTGCAAGTCGATCCATTCAGTGAATTTCCTCACCTCGACCATGATACCACTTATAACAGGAGGTGGTTTAGATATAGATTCGCCGCGATTTTAAATCTGCTGAAATAGCGCGATTTTTTTTTAAAATATCATAGTATGTTCGTGAAAATTTTGTTATGTTGTTTCTTACTAATAGTGCTTGGAGGTGGACTGTTTGTTGATGGGTGAGTGATATGTTGTTAAAAATTTAAATATTACCACAATTAAAGAAACGGGGTTTTGCTAACAGTCAGATACTCTTACTCAGAAGTACACGGCTATTTTCAAATTAAGCATACAAGTAACTCCAAATGAAAATCATCTGTGGATTTGGATTACAAATGATTGCGATATGTTTTTGTGTGAGTGCAAAATGAATAATAAACTCTTCACTACTACTACGGGAATTGAAACACATACTGGCCAAAAGTTTTATGGTTCTGCAAGATAGTTTGTCCTAAATAGACCTTTTGATCATACTGCTAATAGAGCAGAAAATGAAGCCTCTTTTTGGTCATTATACTCTAAAGACAGGCCATGGTTAAGCCTTTACAACTCCTTATTGCTGAATATATCAATCACAAGTTTTCCTGTAGAAGACATGTTTACCGAAGGAATGCGTTTCTCTTCAAAATAACATTCATGCTAAAATGTCGTACATGACGGAGTTGAAATAAGTGAGGGCATGGTTTATGTAAAAGCTGGATTATTGATTTAAAGCCCGAGAATTGAAATCAATTCCAACATGCCGATGATAAGAAATTTCTAATTGTCGGCGATCTTGCGCTTTTCCATTAATACTGCAAGGAAGTTCATTGTCTGACCTTTTCTCTATGATGGTACTACTTCTTAGGTTTGCCCCTCAGAATGAGACGAATATCATAATCTGCCAGAAGTTTTTTATATATATTATATATAATCTTGTAGAGTGTTCCACAGTCTCGACACCCTCGGGACAAAGGAGCGGTCGTATCGCCCAATTCTGGATGTACGAAGCTCGGCACGGTCAGGGTGAGAGGCCAAAGTCAGGCGGGTCTGTCTGGCAGGCACATCGCGCGGCGGCATCATGGAAGAGAGCTCCGAGGAGCAAAGCCTGTTGGTGTAGCGGTAGAAAAGAGCTAGATCGCCGACAGCCCGCCGGTGCGAGAGTTCCGAGACTGTCTGTTGGAGAAAAGTCATCGATAAGTCGGACCGCCCTCCTGCGGACAGCCTCGAGCATGGATAATTTAATCGGGGCGGCAGCACCCCAAACGTGTGAGCAATACTCGAGGCTAGGCCTTATCTGGGCCTTGTACAGAGTGAGAAGGTCATGCGGAGAAAAGTACTTCTTAGTCCTAAACAAATAGCCTAGCTTTTTCCCAGCAGCTACAGCTATTGACGAGATGTGTGCGTTCCAGATCAGGTCCACGGTGATCTGGACTCCGACCAGCCGAAATGAATGGCTCTTTGGCAGAATTCGGCCATCTATCGAAACCGGATGAGCGTTAGGACGCTTTTTGTTCGTCAGAGTACAGTACTGTGGTTTGGAAGCATTGCACTGTACAAGATTGTTGCCTCCCCAAGCAGTGATAGCCTCCAGGTCTCTTGTCAGAGATGATGTCGTCGCTAGCCTTTGGCTTGTCACTCTGAATTCCTGCATGTAGAGTGCTGTCCTTAGCGAAGCTGTGGATTGGGTTGATCGTGCAGGAAAGGAGGCCATTGATATGTAAGAGAAACAGTGTTGAAGCCAAGACCGATCCCTGGGGAACACCCGCGCTGACGTTGTGGGATGACGAAGAGAACCCGTCAATTACGACAAATATCTTGCGGCCAGAGATAAAGTCAGCCACCCATCTGCAAAGCTTTTCTGGGAGGCCATAGGCTTAAGAGGGCAGCGTGCTACAGCTGATCGAACGCTTTCGTGATGCCAAGAGCAACGACATGGGCCTCACCATAAGACTGCACCAGTTTACTCCACAATTGCGTGACGTAAGCTAGGAGGTCCCCTATGGATCGTTGGTGCCGGAAACCATACTGCCTGTCGCTAATCAAGCTGTGACGTTCGAGGTAGTCCAGAAGCTCGCGATTTATGCACTGGGCTTGAACAAATTTCCAGTTTTCTGGGAAGGTGCCGGATTCATAAGATATCTGGAAGAGACGCGAAAGAACTGGAGCAAGCTCCGCTGCACATCTCTTCAGTACAATGGCAGGCATGAAGTCCGGACCAGATGGTTTGTTGATGTCGAGCACAAGAGCACTCGTCTTACGGTCTTATGCCTGAATGTTACCTCCCGCATAGTGTAAGGAACCCTTTGAATTGACGGTACTTGGGCATTGGGGGGGGGGGGGGACGTCCATGCTGGAGTTAGCAGCAAAGATCTTGGTTAGCAGTTCCGCCTTGGCCGTTGAGTCGAATACAATCGTTCCATCCTGACACGTAAGTGGCGGGAGGCTACTGTGTAGTATTGTAGTTGTTGTACAAGTGGGGAGGCGAACCCTGGCAGGTAGGCTACCTTTGTTTTTTTTATGACACCGATTGTACCTACACTTTCCTTCTCATGTTTGTCTACCAATCCATCGAATTTCCTGAAGGGCCATGATGTCTGACCACTCAGTTGGCTATGCAACTTCGTTATCAAGCTCGATAGCACCGAATATATCAGCCGTTAGGCTGCAATGTTGCTTGCAAAGTTGGCTGTTGAGTCTCCAGTGGCCGCTTGGAGCCCACGTCAAAATATTGAGCGATTCTCTATCACTGTCCATCACTCAGCATGTCCGGAGCCCGCTACGAACAGCTTGGTCTGCCTGCAGTAATCTCTTTTTCTATAACCTATTCATTCAGTACGGCGTTGACCTCTGGCCCCCTGCCTACCCAGATCATCAGCTGTCGGTTACTCCACTGTACCCAGAAACCCAAAGCAGAGTCACTTCTTAGGATCGGGTTAAGCTTTGAAGAGCAGTAGTGTATTCCTGAACTAAGGGTGAGCTTGCCTTTGTAGATACCCTTGCCTTCAGAGCTGCTTGACTGACGGACCATATAAATATGCTCCGGGTACACCGTTGAATCTCATCTAAGTATACCACCATTAGGATGGCAGATATCTCTATCTGGAATACTGTTGCATAGGTTCCAAGCGCGAAGCTTTCGTGTACGCCTTCGCCTTCCATTCATTTCCTGACCAGCTGGATCCTGTTTCCTTTTGAAATGATCCGACAGTGAAACACACGAGACTGTGGGGTGGAAATATGAGGTCTCCTTTTATCCATTCTTCTTTCGTAGGGATGATGAGAGAAAAATATGAACCTATATTTTTCCAGTTCAAAGCTCCTAACAAGAAGCTGTCTTTAAGTATACTGGTCGTGGTACCCTGACATGTACTCTGTGCTTTTTTGCTTCCTGAGACATAGATAGACATTGTTTTTGTGTAGAACCTATACCCAGAACGATATTCCTTAGAGATCAATGGTATCTGCATGAGAACTGAGAGCTTCTAATTTCCGGCTCATGAATCATAAACACCAAATATCTATGCAGTCGGGCAAATAATTTAAGGTATCATTACAATGCATAACGCGTACGAAACATTCCATGCAAAGCAATACCTAATCATAGGTATATAATATTGATATCTCACGATAGCAAAATCATTATCAGTGATTGATTATTATTTGTCCTGACCACCAACATCGTGCAAACAGTGACCAATATACTCTTTACTTTAGTAATTCATCCACTGTGCAGCTGAAACAGTAACCCGTCACATTCTTATCTTAGTGGTATGGAAGTTATTTATAATCTTCGCTGATCGTAGCTCTTCTGTTTGTCGAATTATCGGCATTTTTGGGTGTTTGATTTGAAAATATTGATTTTTGAATAATGTTCTGACCTTTCCATATTAAAAATTTTTATATCCTGCCATTGCTTTAAGTGTAATAATCTTGTACAACAGACAATAATTCAAAAGCTTTTATCGAACTTGGCCTGTTTGTAAGTATAGCAGTATGCTAGAGTATGTGGGACAAATCCTGAAACTGAATTTGGAACCAGTTAGCCTTAATCATTGGAGCTGAAATTTTATATACACGTTTGGATCGCGTGACAATACAAAATTTGTTATTTCCACAGTAACCCCAATGATTTGGGTATCAAATGAAAGAGCTTGATGAAAGAAATGAACTATTCGTCATTATTCGTCAAAGCGGTCCGGTGGACCTTTGCTCTTAGTTAAAAGTCTCGCCGGTTTGTTAGTCTGTCAGGTCTGGGTACCCAGATACCAAACATGTTTACGGGGAAAATGGAAATAAGGAAAGAAAGGAAGGAAGAAATAGAGCAAAGAAAAGAAGTAAATCATTTGAACTGGCTTAAGCATTATTGCTTTGACTACTCGAATTATTTTGTGACCCCAAGAACTAATTTTGATCGGTTTTGTATACTGTAATAATTTTGACTGGTCTGAATTTACAATTTAATTTTGATCACACTGCGAGGCGCGGCCTGGAATGTTTGCGAATTTCTCGACTGTGTAGTCTACTGAATCACGCAACAGAGGGTTGCTGTGCGATTCCGCTTGATTATAACGCCGCTGCGCCTGTTGTTTTACATAATCCATGAGATATGGGATATCAAGATCTCTGTGAATGCTCTCATTTGACACGTACCAAGGGGCGTTAGTAATTGTGCGTAGGGTTCTGTTTTGCAGGACTTGCAGACTCTTCATGTGCGTCTTGGCAAGAAAACACCAAGCCGCGCATGCGTAGGTGATTGCGGGTCTTATGACCATTTTATACAACCGAATCATGTTGATCAAACTTAATTTTGAATTTCTGCACAACAAAGGATAAAGCTGCTGAAAGGTAATTTGGAATTTTGTTTTCAAAATATCAGTATGTTTCTGCCAGGTCAACCCCTTGTAAATGATGTCTCCGAGATACCTGACAGATTGCTCCCATGGTATACGAGTTCCATTCATTGATATCTCTGAGGGGGCACCGCGACATTTTTTAGTATAGTAGATTGTCTGCGTTTTCGAAGTATTAATTTTTATCAATCACCGATCTGCCCACTCCAATACTTCCTCCACCGCACTCTGCAACCTGTCGTGAACCAGGATACCAGAACAGGACTGGGCTAGCAATGTCGTGTCGTCAGCATAGAGATTGACTTCACAGTTGCTGGGGCAAGGGACGTCATGTGTATAAAGTGAAT